TATCTATCTATCTATCTATCTATCTATCTATCTATCTATCTATCTATCTATCTATCTATCTATCTATCTATCTATCTATCTATCTATCGTAGTAGGCCCTACCTTTCACAATTTGTACAATTAGATGGGCATCTTCTGCAATTTTATTAAACCCGGATATGAGAGTGTCCAAAAATTGTACCTCAGTACCCTCACTTGGCCTTCCTCCGCCGTTTTGCTTTGATAGTTTTGTTTCGCCTCTTCCGTCCACTTCTTTTCTTTTTTTTTTTGCTTGTTGCTTCCACTACTTATTTTGCCTTTTCTTGTTATCTCAATTAATTGTTTTGTTTCTGCTTGTTAAAAGTAAAGTTGTTCCCGCATCCGATGCAGACTTTTCTTGCTAGTGAGACAACTTCCTGGGCCTTCGTCATATTGTGGTAGGGTAGCCAGATCTTCTCCACGCCACCTTTACTTCCCCAACTTGAAGTCAGGTACCCATTACTGCTGGGTGGGCAGGAAAGGGTAAAATAATTGGTGTCCGAACAGAGACTCGAACCCAGACTTTCCGTTTCGGAGACGAGTATATTAACCACTCCGCCACCGCACCCACTTCTGCTTGTTACCTCCACTAATAGTTTTGTTTTAATAACGTGTTGCCTCGACTAATAGTTTTGTTTTAATAACTTGTTATCTCCACTAATAGTTTTGTTTTAATAACTTGTTATCTCCCCTAATTGTTTTGTTTTAATAACTTGTTGCCTCCACTAACAGTTTCGTTGTCCCTTGTCCCTTTTGCTTGTTCCTTCCAATGACCGTTTTATTTACCTGTCTGTTTATTTCTAACAGCGAGTGTGCGAGATTAACAAGAACATCTGCATTTGCCAGGATGACTTTGTGAGGACATGTGATGCATACACCGCTTGGGTTTACAAACAGTTCACAGATCCTCTTTTGAGGAAAACTTGCGGTAGCTCTGTCATTATCGGGTGAATTTGACAACGTGTCCCAAATGATCTGGATATTAAGATGATGTTTAAATCTGCATGTATTCTTTTCATTGGTGTCTCTGATACCCTCAGAATAAAGGAAAAATCATTAACAGTATTTTAGAAATGCCCGGAATGACCGATGATTGCAGGGAAACTCGCAACAAAGAAGGAAATTCTTTCTGGAAACATCAAATCTGAATTGTCTGTTTTCTTTCGAGAGATTAAAATATGAATTGCATTATATTTTTGTTCTTTGCCTCTTTTTTCTTTATGCACTGCTCAAATCATCTCAGCAATTTACATATTTTCCTTTGTTGTTTTTTCTCCATTATTTCAGCTTTTTAAACGGTATTGTTCATACTATTTAAACAATGATAGTAAATAACAAGATGGGCCACTCAGCCAAAAAAGTGTCCGCCGGAAGTCCGCTCTTTGCTTCAGATGGCGCTGCAGTCTGTTTTGAAGCTCTCTTTCGTTTTTCCAGAAGAAGAATAGGAATAGCACCTCCTTGCGTGCGTAGATCGACTGCTGTTCATCAGCAGTTCGGGTACGTTCAGTGCGGAGTTTTAGTTTTTAAAAATTTTAATGACCTCTCGCCTTTCATTCTAAAGTCAAATTAAACGAAGAAAACCATCACCCTTTCCTCCGGAAGAGGTTTTTTGTCAGCGTAACCATTTAAAAAAAGCGTTCTTCCGAAATTTATCCCAAAACTTGCTAGTTTCACTTTGATTTTTAAAAACTCAAGTAGGGTAACTCTGTTCGCAAAGAGTGCGCTTTCGTGAAGAGGGCGCCACCAAATTTTGAGGACACTTTTTTAATTGGCTCAAAGAGAGAAGTGGCCCATCTTGTTATGTACTATCATTGATTTAAAGGATAGAATTTTGTTTGCGCTTCAGCGAAAAAAAACCCAGAGTGAGCTTGTTCCCAGTATCCGAGTACTCGAATATTTCAAAATAAATCAAACTAGGACTTAAGTCCAAAATAGTGGACTGGCACACTTCTACTTTTGGCAATAGGCGGGCCTATATCATCTTTTAAAAGCCGTGAAAAGTGCACTCTGGAGTCCACCCTGGCCTCACTTTGATATTCCCACGATTTGGTACTCTTGAAACACTCACGGCGTGACGAATTGAAATATAATGATAATAGAAAGCACTTATATAGCGCAAATCCCCGTTCAACAGCAAGCTCTATGCGCTTCATAATCCATACTACTACCCTAGCAGACCTGAGAGCTATCTGAAACAAACTCAACTTCCTGGGAAGCATACAGTGAAAGTCGCCATTTAAAGGCTCTAAAACACTAACATACTGACAAGATCTTTCGCTGTCTATGTCCGGGTACACATTTCCACCTGGGTGAAGTGAGGAAAATTCGTGTAAAGTGCCTTTCCCAAGGACAGAACGTCGGGCCCGCGGCTCGAACCCCCGACTCCGCAACCTCACGATTACGAGTCCGGTAGCCTAACCACTAGGCGACCGACGCTGACACAGCTAATCTTTAGCCAGCTGTTTAGACGTACTAAACAATTTTTTAAGATATATTGTGGTTTCTTAACCTGTAGTATCAGCTGCGTCCACTGAAGAAACTTTTTTCAGAAATTCAAATGCTAAGTGTTGAAATAAGCCAGAAAAGATAAGATATATAATGTTGGTACTGTTGGTTTTTTTATATCTTAGACAGCTGATACAGTTTTTTCTCTCTCTGGTAAGATTTTACTTTCTGGGCCTGGAACATAATATTATGAAAAACGTACTATCGAAATGTGAATCAGCCGGTAGAAGACAAGGGTGAAAAGGGGGGGGGGGGGGGGGGGCAAGAGGGCGAATGTGGATTGTCACACCCGACTTGGTGATGAATTTCTGCAAGAAGCTACTTATCTGGTACAATCTGGCCCCATCTTTGTTGACAGTTTCAGTTTTAGTCAGAGTTTTACGGCGCATACAACACAGACTGGTAATATGTGTCAAATGTTAGAAGTGTTACAAGAGAGTAACGTTCAAAACAAAGGAGGGGGAGAAATGGTTACGATATATATTATGTTACATCATAGGTCAGAAGGAGCAAAGCAGAGACGAGAACCACCCGCCAGCCACTCTCTTGATCCTATCCTCCAGATGTGGCAATTCGTAAGAAGATTATTCTTAGGGGAAATAATAATTAACAATAGGTGCTTTTATATAGCTCATGTCCACGCCCTACAGCATGCTCTATGTGATTTACAAGTAGTTTACCAGGATTTTTTAAAATTCTGTACAAATGTCTCTTTGTGCCTTATGTGCTTGCCTAAATTAAATAAATACGAAGTCCATATCATAAGTATGCTTCCTAGATTCATAAAGTGAAAACCAATTCTAAAAATGATTTTAAATCTGGCACCAAACAAATCTACATATAAAGCTCTTTTCAATGCAACCACCACTGTAATCAACGCACCATTGCGTTTGCAGTTACTAACCGCCAAATGCAATGACACAGGTTACTTTGTCCAGATACCTTTTCATCAAGTTTGTAGCAAGCTTGATGTCTTCTTTCAATTCAAATCTTAGTTCTCGAAAGTTTTCCCATATCTTGTGGGAAAAGATGGAAGTCACAGAGAACTAAATTGGATGTTTAGCGTGGATGCACGAACATTTCAGAAGTGCAACAGTCTAAATACTTTTTATGTTGTGTGTAAGCAGCAATATACTGGGAAAGTGACCTTCTGCGTCACTACCCGGTTTTCCGTCCTTCTTTAGCTTGTAAACATAATTCACGACATTTCACTCTTTCAAAGCACCATCTGTCATGGTTCTTGTAGATAAGCAAATAGGCTGACACATCGTCCCACTTTATGCCTTATTGATGTTTTGTTATTTATCTTCATTTTCTGAAGCACCGCGAGCAAAGAATTTGTTGTTGCCACAGTTATACTTTACGACAACCTATAACATCGAGGTTGTCTTGGTCGTGCAGTATTCGCTGACGTCACCAAACATCCGACAACATGGCCGAGTTCGTCCGTTCATGCCACCCTCATTCCCAGGTCTCTGGTTTGACGTATTACTTCATGAAGTCGTAAATCCCTCTCGTTTTTACGTTTTCAACGTATGATAAAGGAGGTCTTGCCATTGATGAGACGATTTTGTTTAAAAAGCTCAATTAATTAGACACCAAGATCATGCAGTTGCAGACACCGTAAAATCTTACTAAAAAGAGAAAAGACAGCAAGATGGATTTTTGTTAATAATTAACTGCTACTGATTTGGTCAAACAAAGTTTACTTTTTTGTTTTTAGAAGGAAAATGAAATGTGATCTCATCCATATCTAATATCGGACAAGAATACATGTAGGGTTAAGGCTAAGATAATTTATATTTTCATAAAATGGAACCACTGCTTAGAGTGTGTTTCTGTACTCTAATTTTTAGATACAGATTTTTTCTGGAGTAGGAGCACTATTACCTCAAGTTCATAACACGAAGGTGCAGTACATGAGTGGAGCAAGTCCTTTACAATGGCGGTCATCTCTGCAAACATTCTGTCTAGTAGTAGTAGTAGTAGTAGTAGTAGTAGTAGTAGTAGTAGTAGTAGTAGTAGATGCAGAAACAGCAGTAGTAGATGCAGAAACAGCAGTAGTAGAAGCCGAAACAGCAGAAGTAGTATCATCACCATCTTCCTCAGCAGTAGCAGCAACAACCATAGCAGCAGCCACAGCAGAAGACACAACAGCAGAAATAACACCAGCAGCAAAAGTAATAGACTCTAGTAATAATCTACAAGCAGCCACAGAAGTAAAACAAAATTATAAAATAATTCTGCATTAAGATAATGCCCTAGACGAAATGCAACAGTTTTGGGTGGGGGTTTTGGGCTTCTGCTGAAAAACCTTGTGTTTTGACATACTAGAACGATAAATGATAGCAGGAAAATTATTATACCTTCCAAGGACTTTCATAAAGCCGATGTGTTGCTTCACCAGGAGCCGTGCACACCTCTTAGAGATCTGGTAAGAACTTAAGATCAAGTGATGCTGTCACAGCACTTTTTCCTATAGTTTTTTTAAACAGTTCCATCAGGCGCGATTCGTCCAGAGCACGGTCGTGCAGTGCCGCCCAAAATGTTTTAATATTCTATGACAATAATAAAATAAAAGACGCCAGAAACAAACACTAGCCAAATATTATATCAAAACAAGGCCCTCGCTGGCGCCGTAACTGTCATTTCTATTCTATAGCGCCGTAAAACATCTACTATGCCATGTCTAAGTTCATGCGCTGTATCTAAACATAACAGGAGAGTCAACAGTGGAAACCTGACCTATACATCGCTCTTTGGGATAACCCAAGCGATGACGACACTTGTAGAAAGTTTGGCGGTACATTAATATTAATAAGACGGCACATCTCAAATGTGCCCCAGCCGAATACCGCCGAAACATAGCCCACTGTAGGCAATCTAAAAATAAACGCCATAGACTGTGCACTATTCCATGCCAAAATTATGTGGGCCCGGGAGCAATCCAGCGGAGTGCTCAAGTGAATTGTGATTGGTTCATTGTCTTATCGCTATTTTAAGTGACTCTGTGACCGTGAACGTGACATACTTAAGTCACCGTCCTGTGAGTTGTGCTTTTGAACGGTTTTGTAGTGGAGTGGTGAAAGGTATTACTTGAGTGTTCAGTTCTAATGCAGAATGAATGAAATTGACGTTTAGCTAACAAACAGATTTAGTTCTAGAAGTCAAAGACACACGTAAAATGAATGAAAATAAAAGCACAAAAATCTTCCTTCACCAACCCAGAGATCCTAAAATTATACACCATCCCATTTACTCTGCCCTTGATTATCTTCAGCTTAAGATAGCTTAATTGTGCACGCCCACTTTTTAGACCCACGAGCCGCCCCTGAGTTCCATGTGAGAACTAAGCCTACATTTGGAACACGCTCTTGCCACTCTTGCCTGTTTGTGCGCAATTAGTGGCACTGGTGACAAGATAATCCAAAGCAAACAATAGGGGAGAGTGCTTCAGAACTGGGTCCTCAATGACATTTGATGACATGTCGCAATTCCAACAATTTATTCTCCTGTGTTTCGACATTTCAGTTCAAGAAACCCTTTACGCTACATTTTTCTAAAATCGAGTGATTAACAGTATGACCCTCACATCGCAAAGATGTGCGACAGAGAAAGATCTACGGCCTCAGATAATAATTTAAAAAAAGTCAATTTTAGAAAAATGTGGCATTCGGAATTCTTGAAC